GTCCCCGCCGCCAGCACCCACCCCCGGCCACCCCATCCTCGGGCACGGGGGCTGCCACAGGGTACCCCACACTTCCCAGCCAGGGCGGGGTGCCCCCCGGTTCTCTGCCCCCACACCGGGGGGCTGCGGGCATCTCATACCTTGGTCTTATTGAGGACGAGCCCGACGAAGGTGGAGACCAGCAGCGATCCCGGCATGGAGGCGCGGGGCCGCAGGTCCTTGTGAAGGTCGGGGAGCGCGGGGGGCTCCTCGGGCAGTGTCACGGTGTAGGAGTCCCTCATGGTGGCCCCGGCGGGCACGGCAGGGCGGCGGGGACCCGCCGAGGGCAGCGGGGTGCCAGGAGGTGCAGGGTGGGCACCCCTAGCCCGGGGCCGGCTGGAGCCGGGGGCGCGGGGTCAGGCGCGGAGCCCCCCGTGCTTGGGCGTGCGGGGCCGGGGCCGGGGCCGGCTGCGGGGCTGACGGGCACCTGAGCGGCTCTGACATCAAATGGGTGGGGAGGCGGCAGCCAGGGCTCGGTGACGGGCTCGGTGACGGGCTCGGTGACGGGCCAGCCCCCGCGCACCGCGTGGTACAGCGCGCCGGGAGACACAGGGGGGCCCGCGAGGGGCGGCTGTGCCCCGGGGGGACGCGGCTCCGGGGGGCTCCGGTGGGATACCATGCCCCCTCCTCACCTCTCTCAGCTCTCCCGTACCCCGACACCGGCACTGTGCGGGGAAATGGGGCATTTGGGCGAGGCGGCAGCCGGAGGAGCGCCTGCCAACCCCCCCAGTGCTCCCCTACGCTCCCGGCTCCGCATTCCCGGGGCTGATGGCACCGGCTGTCCGGCCCCGGGCACGCCGTGCTCTGGGCAGGTACCGGGCGGAGAGCGGGGCTACCCATCCGCTGCAGTCACTCGCCAAAACTGGCTCGGTAACGCAGAGACAGCCCCACAGCAGGGGGGTGCCCGCACACAGAGAGGGGCTGTCAGAGAGGGCTGTGAGGCTCCCGGGCATGTGCCTTCCCTGCAGGGCCAGTGCCAGGTTACGCGTTTTGGGGGAGCCCTCCTCCTCGGGGATGCAGTGGCACTGAGCTCAGAGGTGTTTTAGTGCCTTGCGCTGGGGGAAAAAAAACTCCCCCCCTAATCCTACGTGGAGCAAAGACCCCACCTGGCGTCTCCCCTCGGTAAACTGAGGCAAGGCACTGGCAGGGCTCCAGCTCTTCTCCTGCAGCAAGGGCAGATGCGGAGGCTGGCAGGGAGCCCGGGTGTCCTGCGTCCTAGTCCTGCGTCTCCCTCTGCTTCACCCCTCTGACCGCAGCAGGACGAGCGGCCGAGCCTTTGCGCCTGCTGAGCGTGCCCAGGTGTCCTACCGCCCGCTCAGGGAAATTTCCATGGGCGGCAGAGGCAGGGAGTGCGGCTGGGCTGCTCTGACAGCGCCAGGGTACCAAACAGAGCCTGCTTTCCCCCCCCTGCCAGCTCTCAGCACACCCCCATCCAGAGGCAGGGGCTGCTAAATCCCGATGGCTGCAGATGCAGCCTCCCCTGCCCGCGGCTTAGCCGGCGGAGGGGCTGGCTAGGGAAGGAGGAGGTGGGGGGAGGGAGGAAGGGAGACTATTTTTGGCACCGGCAAAAAATATCAGAGGAGGCATCTTGCAGCGCTATTCATCTGCAGGGCCGAGGCTCTCGGCACCACAACGGGATGCCTGTCGTAATCGCGGGGCCTGTGAGTGCTCCCACGCGTGTGTTTATGCACACACCCCGCGGTGTGTACACCGTACACATGCGGGGACACGGCGTTCACATGTGGGGACACCGCGTGTGCACACACCCACTGCCCTCTCCACCCTGTGGGGGTTGCCCTGCAGCGCTCCCACGGGTCACAGCCTGGGCACCCCGGGGCCGTGGCACAGCTTCCCGAGATCCTGAGCTCCTGCCGCCCTGCCTGGGTGGGTATCCTGGGGGCAGGATCAGCCCCAGAGCGCAGCCTGCCCCATGGGGTGCTGGTTCAGCACTCCCCAAGGGGAGGCACCATGCCGGCAGAGCCGGTTCCGTGGCAAGAGGGTGACATTCAGCCACATCCCGTGCTGAACCTCGTGCCCCGGTGTCATGGGGTGCCCTGGGCCAAGGACCAAAATCCCCTCCCAGCCAGAGAGTGGCAAACAGGCTCTGAGGGCAAGGGAAGAGAAGGGGAGGCCTGGTGGGGTGGCATCACCCAGAGCCAGGTCCGTGCCCTGAGCTGTCCCCTCTGCAGCGGTGACCTTCTGCCGCGGGCAGAGGTTGCCACAAGGCCCGGTTGGCACCGCCACGGCAGGCAGGGCCGGGACTGGCTGCGGGCCAGGGACGTCAGCTGCTCAGGATGGGACTGCGGAGAGCTGCCGGCGGGTTTGCGGGCGGCTCTGGCCTCCTGACCCTGTGTACACCCAGGGTGGTTAATGGGGCGGCACCGCTCCAGTCCTGCCCCTCTCCAGCCTGCCCTTCCCACGAGCCAGCACAGCAGGGCACAGCCAGTCGCTGCAGCTGCACCTTCACCCTGCAGGACGGTAAACTGAGGCACAAAGTGATGGTGTGGGGAGGGACAAACACTGGCACCCTGCTGGCTGCAGGAGGTGGCTGGGGAATGAGGGATGGGAGGAGGCACAGAGCCAGCCCTGCTGTGCCCTGTCCCCATCAGGAGCGGGTTCTGCTGGCGCTGCCCTCGGGGCCGGGTAATGGGGCAGAACCGATGGCAGCGCCGGGGCCGCAACGTGTGCCTGTTTCCGGCTCCCGGCGTGGCCGCAGGCACCCACGGCTGTTTTACGATTGGGACATTTGCTTGGGAAAGGGAGAGGGGGAAAAAAAGGCCCAGCAGTGGAAAATAGCAGGTGTGCCCATCAGAGCACCAAGGAAACCTAAGCCAGCTGACCCAGCCCGCCCTGGAGTGGTGCTGTCCCAGAGCCACCTTTGCCACCTGGGCTGTGTTCACGTGCAGACCACAGGGCTGTGGTTTGGGGCTCTGCCCCGTGGGCATCCCGTGGCAGCAGGCTGGCACCCACACCACAGCAGTGTGTGGGCACTGGGGTGGGCACCCTTCCCTAGCAATGGCAGTCCCTCTCCCTTTCTGGAGTGCCCACGCCTGGCAGCAGCCACTGGATCCTCCCTTGGTCCCCCCCTTAAAGGGCCTGGTGTGGGAGGGGGAGGCAGGAATTCCCTTCCACAGCAGTGATGCTCCACTCTCCCAGCTCCCCAGCCTGCTCCCTTGCCCCAGGGATCAGGGAGGTGGGCACAGGGGGTCCCACACCAGGGCAGGGTGCTGCTGGCACTGCAGGTGCAGCTGCTTCTGTGGTGAAAGGGGCACAGTAAGGGCACAGAGAGGGATGGCTTCAAAGAGGTTCCTGTCCTGCTCCCAGGGAAGCAGAAAAGGATCCCCCAGCACTTTTCCTCACGGTTTGGCGGATTTCAGTGGGACAGAGATGCAAGGAAGCAAAGGGCAGGTCAGACCCTGGGCTGGGATGGAGCAGCCTCCACCATGGGGGAATGGAAACAAAGTGGGAGACACGGCAGGCAGAGCCTGAGCAGATCTTGGAAGGAAACCTGAGTGGAAAATTACCAGGCTGCTCCCCTGCACACCCGAGCTGGGCTGTGTGTGACTCCTGCTCCAGGCCCGGGCCAGGGCTCTGGGGCCGCTGCAGCACCCAGGGGTACCTGGGGCACCCTGGGTGACCCTGCCCAGGGCAGCGCTGCCACAGGGAAACTGCTGCTGCCACAATGTTTGGGGCACAGGGCCCTGAGATGGCAGCAGTGGATCATGCCAGGGGACTGGCATCACTGGGCACCAGTGAGCAACCTGACTGGCAGACGGGCACCGAGTCACTGTCGCACAGTCAGCACCAGCCAAACCAGCCATCCCAGCAGGGCGAGTGCCCAGCCTGGTCGTGTCACCTGCTCTAGCCAGGATGAGGCAGCAGGAAGCCCCTCCTCGGGCCGGGGCCGTCACCCACTGGCCATGCACATACGCAGAGAGGTGCAGGTGGGCATGGCCCTGCCAGGACACGGGCACCCTCAGCCCCTGGGTGAGGTTTGCTCTCAGTAATGCACCCAGTGAGCACAGCCCCTCAGAGTACACCCTCCTGGCGGCACCACGGGCTGCCTCAGCAGCTGCTGTGCCAGCAAGGGCATCTCGGAGGGTCAGGGCGCAGAACCGAGGCACACTGAGAGTCCAAGGGAGAGCACCAGAGCCCGGGCTCCCCGGATCAGCACAGCCACGGACCGTGTACCCACATCACACCACCGCCGTGCCCCCCCAACCCCTCCCCCGGCCAGCGCCACATACCGTGGGGTCCTGGGCGGGCACATCGCAGGGGTCGTCGCTCCTCTCGCAGGGCTGGCTGGCACAGCGGGTGCCCGAGGGCGGCAGGGCCGAGCCCAGGCTGGCCTGAGAGGGGCTGAGGTGGCCAGCAGAGAGGCTGCTGTGGTTGCTCTTCCTCCCGTAGCTCTCCAGGTACCCACGGACGTAGTCGGAGCGGGTGGCAGCCTGGTAGAGCCCCTGCAGGGCCCCGGGCTCCTGCCGGCCCCGGGCTGGGGGGTAGGCACTGTCCGAGGTGTGCAGCCCCGAGAACTCCCGTGCCAGATCCGAGTGGCTGATGGATTTGTGGCGGCTCAGGGGCGCTGCGGCGGGCAGGTAGCCCGTGGGGCTGCTGGGGGTCCCTGCGAAGGAGTAGCAGCCCCCTCCGCTCAGCCCCGCTCCGGGCGGCCGGGGCTGGGCGCGGATGTAGGAGGGGCTCAGGCGGATGCTGGGGTCGGGGTACAGGGGCAGCCTGTCATAACCGCTGGTCGGGGACAGCCCCGAGGGGTGGTAGCGGGGGGAGCCCAGGTAGCTGGCTTTGAAGCCGATTTTGTCGCTGTCCGCGTAGGACAGGGTGGATCCATAGGAGCTGTAGGAGCTGTACCCGCTGGGCACTTTGCTGTAGGTGGTCTCGGCGTAGCGGGAGGAGTCCACGTAGCGCTTCAGGGTGGAGGAGAGCTGGGACATGCTGCAGGCTGGGGCTCAGAGGGCTCTCCTGGAGGCATCGACTGCAAGAGAAGAGCCCAGGGGTCAGCTTTCACAGCCCGTGGTCAGCACAACAGGGCACCCACCACCAACAACCCCCCCCCCCCCAGCAGCCCGCTGGGGATCCAGGGAATGAGGGGTGCTGTGGGGTGCAGTGTGGCCGTGGCTCCTGCCACCTGTCAGCCCTCCTGAAGAGCCTGGGGCAGCAGGACTCAGCTGGCACTGCCACCCATGTGCCTTCGGGCACCTCACACCACAGATGGGAGCCCCAGGGCACAGCCAAGGGGCATCCCAGGACCCACAGACACCCAAGCCAAGGGACTGCCCCAGCCCTGGCATCCCTGACACACTGTCCCATGGCTGGAGAGGTGTCCCCAGTGCCTCCTCCAGATAAGAGGCAGCCTCCTGGTCACAGTCATGATGCTTAGGCCCAGGTCTGCCCAAGACAGGCTGGTGGGATGAACTGATCCAGCCAGCCCAGCACCTTCCCCGGCCTATTCAGAGTGAGTGGGGCCTGGCAGGGGGCTGGCATTTCAGTTTGCTGCTAACAAACTGAGAGGGAAACTGAGGCAAGGTCAGGACCTGAGCAGCCTGCCCGTCTCCCTGCCACGGCTGTGCCCCGTGAGCCTCCCATCAGTAATTCAAGCCCACAGGTCCTCACTGTGAGGTGATGTCCGTGCCCCTGTCTGCCTGGCAGGGGTGGGCAACACCCCAGCACTTCTTCCCCACAGTGACCAGTGACCTTCTGCCCTGTGGCACCCACACAGGGCGGGAGAAGAGCACACAGGGGACAGGGACAGAGGCACCCAGAGCACACAGAGCCAGCCCGGAGCAGGGACAGGGCAGTGAGGCAGCCAGCAGCCTCCAACATCTGCAAACACGGGCTGCGTGGAGCTGGAGGAAAGTTTTCCCTCAGCACCCACGCTGGGGCTGGTTCCCTACCTGTCCTGGGGCTGTGGGTGGCACCGGGGGGGAGGCAGGCGGGACCCCAGCCGAGCTCCTCTGTCCTGGCGATGCTGGCGCTCAGCTCCCCGTGTGCCTGGTGTCCCTTCCCTGGCAGGACAATGGCTCATGTGGCTCCGAGAGTCTCCAATCACCCGGGAGATGACCCTGATTCACAGGCTTTTCCCAGCCCAGCCGGGGCGGGCCCTGGCCCGGCTCCAAGGTGGGAGGTGACAGAGTCTGTGCCCGTCCCGTCCCTCGCACGCCCCGGCAGCACACGGGGTGCATCCAGGATTTGGGATGGGCACTGAATCCCAGCTTGTCACTCCCTGCCTGATCCTGGGGGAGCCCAGGCTCCTGCTCAGAGCCCCGGGGTCTGACCCTGGCGTGGAAACAGCCTGGAATTGCTTTTAGAAGAGGGTGGTGAGAAGCACCCATGTGCTCCTGGCAGACGGCCCTGGGCTCTCCAGCATCCCGAGTGCTGTTGTTATTGCCCAGGGAGCAACCACATCCCGCAGTGGAGAGGGAAATATTTACAAGCAGGAGCAAGGTGGAGCACACAGACCTGTTTGGGAACAGAGGCTGCAGGGTGAATAACCTGCTCCCAGGCAGGGACTCCACGAAACACCCAGCTCTCCCCAGCCAGGAGTGAGGGCCCAGGAGAGGTTCTGCCAGTCAGGGTTTGACATGGATAGTGATGGAATATTGCTTGGAGGGATGTGGGACCCCAGCCAAGGGACTGGCACTCTCTGCCAGTGCCAGAATGAGCTCAGCAGAGCCCCTCGGCTCCATGTGCTCGTGCCTGGCTGCCTGCCCTGGCACAGGACCCTGTCTGGGCTATCCCTGATCCTCGTCCCCCTCACCAGCAGGGATGATCTGGGCTTGGGAGAGGTGCCTGAGTGCTGGGACAGCCCCATGCCATCACCCGCTGCCAGCAGTGCCCGTGCTCTCTGACAGCACCCTGTGCCATCACCCACTGCCAGTGCTGCTCGTGATCTCCCACGGTGCCGTGCCAACACTGACACTGGCAGCATCAGGAGAGCCTCCAGTTTGGAGGCAGGAGGGCAGCAGGTGCTCTCTGGCAGCAGGACAGGTTTCCACAGGGCAGCAGGTGCCCTGGGAGTGAGGGGGAGCTGATGGAGGGCTGCGGGGCCCAGGAGCAGGAGCCAGCCCCGGGCACAGCAGCTACCCCATCTCCTGGGAAGAGAGGTCTTACCATGGAGGAACATCACATCTGCCAGGGCTGCCTGTGCTGCCGAGTCCCCACGTCACATCCAAGTGTATCCCAGGTCAGAGGGAGAGCGGAGTGTGCCACGAGCCACAGGAGCTGAGTGGGGTGCCAGAAAACCTCGGTTCCTCCCAGAGCTTCCTGGGCTCCTGGCCCCTCCCTGCCCGTCATAGTGCTGAGCTTTCCTGCTGCCTGGCAAAGCCCTGGGGCTGGCACGGCTGAGTCAGCCCTCCTGCTCCCTCATCATCCTCCCGGGGTGTCAGGCGAAGCTGAGGCACAGGAATGTCCGGTCTGCACTCACGTGGCCAGGCAAGAGCCGGGACATGGGAGCAGGACACCCTGGGACTGCTTGGAGCGCTGGGGGAATCCAGCCCTGGCCTCCAGCTCCACCAGCCTTCCCAATGGGAAGCTCAGCTCAAAGAGGGGAGGCAAACCCTTCACCCTGAAGGCAGAGGAGCAGAGACCCTGCTCTGTCTGCAGCTGCTGCCCTACCGCTGCCTGGTGGCTGCTGTCCCCTCTGTCCTGCCCCTGCCTGGTGGCTGCTGTCGCCCTCGGTGGCCACAGAGCCCCAGAGCGGGCTCAGCTCAGTTTACACAGCGCTGGCTCCATCCAAGGTGTCACAGCTCAGCTGCTTCTCACTTACACAGGCTTGGAGCTGTGTGCCCTGTCCCCTGAGACACAATGTCCCAGCCTGGAGGTTACGTGGGACCTCCCAGCAGAGGCAGAGGGGGGACACTGTGTGAGGCACTTTGTGTTCTCTGATGTACAGGTTTGGGGCAGAGGGGCTCTGCGTCCTACTGAGAGTGCCAGAGGGGTGGGACAGCCTCCTGCCCATTCCCTGAGAGGCACAAGGCAAGGGATCCCTCTGGGATTCCATCTCCCTCTAGGGAGAGCGGCCCCGAGAAGCCCTGGGGAGAACGTGCCACAAAATGTTTGCTCCCTACAAGGAGCTGGAGTCATCCTGTCAACAGATGGAGACCCCAGGGCTCTTCTCCTGTTCCCCCCACCCACTCCCACTGCCCAGAACGATGGGCAGGGCCCAAGGTGACTCAGGCAGCCTGGCCAGGGCCCTTCCCCTACCAATCCTGGGCCCGAGAACCCTCCAAACTCACACGACATGCTCTGGCTGGGAGTCACCAACCCAGACTCACTCGGTGCTGCTGACACATCCCCACCTGGCTGCACAACCTGCTGCTCACCCCTCCCGGGCCACCCCCCAGGCAGCAAAACCCCAAAGCCACGGGGAACCCTGACGTAAGAGCCAGGGCACGATGTGTTATTGCTTTGAGGTCTGTGGGTGCGAGAAAAAAAGAAGGGACCCCCGGGCAGGCGGCTCTGCCCACGCCGGGGGACGACGAGGCTGCCGGGGAGCTGCCAAGTTTCTGTGTGTGTGAAGTCTGAACCTGGAGAGAAACCTCTCCCCCGTGGTTTTACACAGATGGAGGAAGGGGAGTGGGGCAGTTTTGCCTGTCTCTGAGTCCCCCTCCCCAGGGTTGTGTCCCCTCCACTCACCTGCGTGTGGGGTGGGTGGCCGATGGCAGGTCAGGGGGACGAACATCCAGGCATGAGGTGATGCCCACGGGGCTGATCCTGCCTCCTTTGGGATCTTCCCCTGGTGCCAGAGATGGGAGATGTGGAGATGGGCAGCAGCAGAGCCCCTTGGAGGGTACCGGGCACCCCCAGCTCAGCCCCTCTACCCTGGGAGCGAGCGCGGTGGCTGGAGGGGGACGAGCCCGAGGGCTGTGGGGCCACACGTGAAAAAAAACGCCACCGCAGAAATTCAGGGCTCAGGTTACCGGCCAGATAAATATAGTGTCTTTATCTGACCTCACAGAGCGCTGAAATGCTCCTCTCGCATTCCAGCCTGGGGAGGCTTAAAGGGGACGTGAACTCGAGGTGGGCTGGTGGCTCACGGCAAGGGGGTGCCGGGCAGGGAGGGGCTGCGGGGGTAGCGGGGGCTGTGGGGATGAAGGAGGATGAGCCAAGATAAGTGTGGGGAAGGGAGGGATTTGAGGAGGGAGATGGAGGTCCGAGAGGGAAAGGATAGATGAAGGGTTAAGAGAGGGAGCGGGGTGGGACACAAGTTGCTGTGGGGGC